GGCTATATATATTGAAACTCAAGGGGACTCACAAAAAGTGTACAAAAGAAGTATAATAGACATGATAAGAGGAGAAAAAATAGAATTGTATAAGATGCTCAGTGAAAGCCAAAGGCAGAAAAAGCCGCATAAAAATAAAACCTTCACCTAGGTAAGGGGAAAAAATGAGAATCAAGACTTGCCATGTAAAGGTACATGATCCCAACAATGAATGTAACTGTACTGTATCCCTAAATGTACCAATAAACTCAATAAAAAAAAATAAATAAAACCTTCAACAGATACGGTAGTTGCTACTCTAATGAAATCAGTAATACTATAAATGTTAATGATCTAAATACATATGCAAATTAAAGGAAGAGATAATAAAGAAGCAGTTCCTTACTTTGTGCTATCTTTAAGAAAACCACTTTAACTATAAAGACTGAAAAGGTGAAAAGTAAAGAGTTGGAGAAAGATACACCAAGCTAACCTCCAGGAGTAAATGTATTAATTTCAGACAAAGTAGACTTCAGATAAAGGAGCATTATCAAGGGTTAGTGATGCTATTAAATAATGATAAAGGAGTTATTTCTTCCAGAAGACTTAACAATTCTAACTACGTCTGCAGTTAGCAACAAAGCATTAAAATATCTAAGGCAAAATCTGATTCAACTGAAAAGAGAAATAGATTGAAATAAATATTATATATGGCAATATTTTAGATATATGCCCAAAACGAACTAGTATACAAATGTATTTCCTTGCTCATTCAGATAAGGACACTACAGTAGCAGTGAACACTGAATAACCCAGATCCTGGTTTCCAGTAAAGGAAGAAGGGAACCCGGATTCCTTAGAGAAATAGCTTATTATTGGACCATGCAGAAAACATAAAAGAAAAGCCTGGAGTATCTTAGAGTTCCAGGAAGTAAATGCTTAAAATATGAAAAATCCACTTGATGCCAAAGTCAGGACTAAAGGGCTGGGGATTTAGCTCAGTGGTCTGCTGCCTGCCTAGCAAACATAAGATCCCAAGTTCATTCCCCGGTATAAAAAAAAAAAAAAAAAAAA